ATTTGTGCAAAGCATGCAATTATTCTATGATGAAATGTTAATATATGACTTGTATGGTTGATTTCATAATTTGGATAATATAATGTGATGATTATGATATATATCATGGATGGTACTTTGATTTGTAATTGTATGATATGCATTTATTTGCCATGGGGGGTGAGTTTGAGGAATTGAAGTCATAAGGTGGGTAAAGTGGATGAGAAGTGAGTTGATGATCATGGTATAAGTTAGGTTAAGGATTGTGGATGTGGTAATGATAATTGGGATGGAAGAGGAGAAGAGAGCATTTGCATGTCATGTGTATTTAATTGGTTGTGAATTCATTAAATTTATGTATATTGGTATTATTCATTTCCCTATGATCCCTTCTTTTTATTCTCCTCTTCTTTGGTTATGGCTCACGAGATTTTTAAGAATGTATTTTAGGCTTACTTTACTGAGTTGTTGTGCTCACTCTATTATTTAACATTTTCAGGATTTCGGAGATGATATAGCAAGAGATGTGCATCCATGGACATAGATGTAGTTAGGATTATCATTTTTGTTAAAGCTATGTAATCATGGTCATGGAGGCCTTATTCTTGTAATCGAACTCTTTGGGAATTATATGTAATGAGCATGTATGACTTGATCTTCAAATGATGTATATATGGCTTATTGTTAATGATTTTGTGTAAATCTTATAGCAGGTAATGTCTATGATCTTGTGTTTATCCTTACATCATCTTGGATTATGTTAAAAATGGAGTAGATGGGTGATCTAAATGGTTTTATGGAATTCACAAAAATTATGTTTTATAGTGTAAGCCAAGTAACTGGTTAGATAATCCCATGTAATCAGTTACATGGGCTAAGTAATCTATTGGTTGAAAATTTTCAAATTTGCAAGTTCACTGATCCAATCTAAGTAACCGGTTAGATGATTTCATGTAACTTGTTAAATGATTTCATGTACCGGTTATATGAGTTATGTAACCGGTTAGATGAGACATTTAACCGATTAATTGGTCTTTGTAGAATGTATATTCATTGGACTAGACCATCTAACTGGTTAGATGATTCAATATAATCGATTAGTTGAACTAGTATTTGCACTTTGATCCCAAAATTTAATATAATTACCTAATTACCCCCAGACTTCAATCAGAGCATAGAGTAGTCATAGAAAATGACAGTTTCACCTCTGATGAGTTTTGAAGCTATAATAAACGTACTAAATGACTATTTTGCCTTTTTGGGTTCTAAACCATTATTTGGCCAAAGTGAATGACCGTTATACCCATATAGACTCTTGAAATAATATAATGACGTGAAATAACTATAGTATCTGTGTGTGACCTCGGGTTCGAGTAAGGTCCCGATTAGTGATCCAGATCCCCGGATTTGGGTTGTTACATGATATCACTATTTTTCATTAAATGACCAGAATATCCTTATGGAACATTAAAAGACACTAATGCACTTTTTTATGGCTATTATGTGCAACCAAACATAGCCTTATATTTCTCCTATGAAACTCTAAACCATAACTTTAACCCCAATTTTCACTCCTTAGACAACCTCTTTCAATGGCATCCATAAATCCTCACTCGTTCACTAACTCAATCACTTACTCGCCATCCACATCTCTTTATCCCCTTACTTCCACTACTCAACTTGCACCATTCATGCCTTGACACTTCTCTCTTTACCACAGATCTCTCTACAACTACCTACCCCGTCAAAGGCCCATGCCTCATTATTTTTCTCTAACCATTCCAAATTTCTTATAATCTTCTCCATAAGCCCCCCCCCCCCTAATCATCTTCACCTTCCAATGGCTATCGCCGCTGTAATCATTTAACAAATCGTTCGCTTTTGTGTACACCTACTGACAATCAATTTATCTTTATTCAGATCAATTCCTGAATTAGATTAGTAGATTTCGTTTAACACCCACTTCCAAGAAGAACAACACAACTAGGGAAAGATAACGTAGTTTTAGTTCAAATTGAAAAAGCTCATTTGTCGACAAAAATGGTAAATCACTCATTGGTTTATAGTTTTTATATTTCATCATCGTCAATGAACATCATTAATTGTTTGTGGTTTTTCCATTCAGTGTGACAATTTCAATTAAATTGTTGTGAATTCCTTCCACACCCACTTTGATCATTTGTATTCAATTTTTCTTTTCAGGTTTCTATATTTATTGCATTTGTCACAATACATATCATGTAATTGAACATAAAAAATAACGTGTCTAAGGTTTTGGCTTTATTTTATGATCGAGTATTTCCTTTTGCAGTTCTTTGTTATGCTGGAAGTGTTGGCTCGAATTGTGGCGTGAAAGGGTTTAGAGATTTGATTTATCTTTATTTAGATCAATTTCTGAATTAGATTACTAGATTTCATTTAACACCCACTTCCATCAAGAAAAACACTACTAGGGAAAGAAAACTTAGTTTTAGTTCAAACTATCAAAGCTCATTTGTCGACAAAAATGATGAATCACTCACTTGTTTATAGTTTTTACATTTCATCATCGTCAATGGACGTCTCAATTGTTTTTAGTTTTTCCTTTTAGTGTGACAATTTTTATTAAATTGTTGTTTTATCTCAACACCCACTTTGATCATTTGTATTCAAATTTTCTTTTCAGGTTTTTCTGTTTGTTGTATTTGTCACAATACATATCATGTAATTGAACATAAAAAAATAGTTGAACATAAAAAATAACGCGTCTAAGGTTTTGGCTTTATTTTATGATCGAGTATTTCCTTTCGTGATTATTTGTTATGCTGGAAGGGTTGGGTGGATTGTGGCGCAGAAGGGTTTAGAGATGGAGTTTGCTTGGTTTGTAAAACAGTGAGATTGGGTGTGTTGTTACATTGTGATCGATTCTTGAGTTGTTACCTTCCATGTCAACTTTGTGAATAATTTTCAAACGACATTGTCTTGAAGACGAGTAAACTTGTCTTTTAATCTTTCCATTAATAAGAGGTACTTAATTATATAAAAAAAGTTAGTTTAAAAAGTTAGTTGTAGTTTAAGGAATTATTTGTAAAAGGATAATAATAATTGGGAGAAATTTATTTATTAATTTATTTTATTTTTTACTTTGACATTTAATCCAAATAATAAAGGCAAAAAAGCATAAACCCCCCTTCCCCCCCTCCCCCCCCGGCCCCTCAAGTATTAGGAATCAACATTTTACCCCCCTGAACTACAAAATCGAGCAAGTCAGTCCCTCAACTATAAGAAATGATCAGTTTCACCCCTGGCTATCCTTTCCGGCTCATTTCCGGCACAGATGGAGCGCGTGAAGTTACTTTATGATATAATTTCATAACTGCCCTTACAATATGACCGTTGTAGCCCTGTCTCTATAAATGGACTCCAAACCTCAACTGTGCAACCAAGAACCAAATCTCTCTGCAACAGTTTTTATTTTTTATTTTTTTATTTTTGGGTAAAATCTGTACAACATCTTCCTTCGGTAAAACCCTAACCAACGACGACCACCGGACGGGAACTCCGATTACCACAACAGTACCACAACTCATGTTTTCTCAGCTCTTTAATCATTGATTTGATCAATCATTGAAGCTTCGATCTCTTATTTTAGGACAGATAATCAATTGATATCGAATTTTTTGAAAATTTGTTATACAATTATGACAAAAGAGGTCATCGGCGTCGTCGTCATCATCATCTCCACGATCATCGACGTCGCCGGAATTGCGTTACCACAATTGAGCCTATGATGCCTATCCCTTACTACTTCAACATCAACTCTCAGCCGCTGTCAAGCACCGGGAAGAAGCAGAGGCTGATTTGGGCAAAGATACCATGCAAATTCCAACAACATCCCCAAACTGTATAAGAAATTCGACGACGATATAAAATCCGTGAAATTCATAAACGAAACAGAGTTTGATCGCAGTGGCCACCAAAATCCCAACCCATGGTGTGTTGAACCATTTAGCTGCAGAGTGAGTACCACATATTTTCCCCAATTAAAGATTTTGGAGCGATTGAGAGAGACCCAAATGAGAGAATTGCTTGAAATTTGGAGTTTTTGAATTTACAAATAGCCTCATGCCGTCATTGTTCATCTTCTTCAACGCGTATATAATGTGCAATACCCAATTGCAAAACCCTTACACCAATCGCAACCCAAACACCCAACCCATCTGCAAAACTTAACCAATAGTGCTTGCTCGCACTCCGTCACTACTGAGCTGTTTCTCATCCCTGTTTCAATTCGCGTGCTCGCTGGCAAGTTCCATGCCTGTTCATTCCGCGCCTTGCCTGTTCATTCCATGGCAGTAGTTCAAACCTGTGTCCTCGCCGGTAAATTCCGTGGCTGTAGTTTAGACCCGTGTGCTCACCGGTTCACTCATCAACGGTCAGTTTAGACCTGCATGCTCGCCGTTAAGTCCCTGCCGTTCGTCGTCGTCGTCGGTTCCTTGTGCACTATTTTTTTTTTCTTTTTTTCTTTTTGGTTAGTCAAACTCAATTTTACACTTAGAAAAACTGTGAGGGTATTGATGGTATTTCATAATTTTAATTTTTTTTGCTTTTTCTAAAATGTTAATTATAATGGGTATTTTTTTAAAATGTACAATGCCGGTGACCGACAATGAGCCGGAAAGGACTGCCAGGGGTCAAGTTGCTCATTTTTGATAGTTGAAGTACTGACTTGCTCGATTTTGTAATTCAAAGAGATAAAATGCTGATTTTTAATAACGGGGTTTTATGCTTTTTTTTTTATTATTATTTTTTTTTCTGCCAATAATAAATCAATGGATGATAAAAGAAGCCGAAGTTACTTGTTACCGTAATTGTATCATTACGTAGTATTATATGGAGATGGAGTATATTCCGGAAATAGCCAGCCTGGTTCTGAAGTTAGAGTGGGGACAGGGAGGGGCTGGTTCCACGAATCACACTGTTTCATCACATTTTTACGTCTGTGTCTCTGCCGATGACTTTTGAGCTGGAGTCAACCTTCTCTCTTTCACTCACTCTTAACCTTTCCTTCAAAATGATATTTGTTGCGTTCCTCTTGTTGTTTTCTTCAACTCCTCACATCCTTTTCCCCTGCTTAACAAATAGGAAAAAATTAATAATTTCATTTTCCTTGCCCCTCTCTCTTCTTCCGATTTCGAAGAAGAGGAATTGAAATGAAACCCTAATTTCAATAAACTGATCACACTCTCCTCCTCCATAGAAGAAAGTGAACTGTATGTTGGGCTCTTCTTCGCTCCAGTCCATCATGAGTTTATTCAAATTTAGGGTTTCCAACCAGTGGTTCAAGAATTAACACAAGGTAGGGTTTTTTGGTATCCAATCCATTTAGGCTTGTGATATATGTTTTCCTTTCGAACCCATATATTTACTTTAATTCTTGATTTTTTTGCTTATGACTAAACGCAATTCCGTTATTACCAATGTTCAATGCTAATACAGATCACTTGCATCACTAAATTGGAAAAAAAAAAGGTAGTCAGTTGAATTTGGTATGTGTTTGTTTGATCATTGGTACAAATTAAGAAGAGGGGTTGTTGAGGATAGAAGTTCTTTACATGGCTTAGTACACGTTTTTCATTGTGAATAATTTGGTCGTGAATTGAGATTTTAATGTGCCTGTGATTTTGATAACTTAGTGGATCACTTTGTTTCTTAAAACCAAATGAAAACTAAGGATTACTCTTGATCCATACTTTTGTGGACAATTGTTTGCTGTCTTTAATAGTTGTAGCAGTTCAATTGTTACATACTTCAAAAGAGTTGGTTCCGAGTTCAAAATTGGTTCCAGAAAGCATTAAGAAAGGGAAGTCATTGGCAATTTAGTTGAGTATCCTGGCTAGGTGCTTCCAATTTCAAACTTTGGATCTAACTTGGTCTTGCAGCTGAAATCTTTAATTGTTCAACATAGAGCTCTATCTTAGTGTTATCTTTCTCTTTGCTTTTGCTCATAAGGCTTACCACTAATAAAAATAATATGAAAATTTAAGAGCTGGAAAATCAGTTATTACCCTCATGTAGTTTTAGCATTTTAACTGTACTATAATTTTCCTCGTCCTTGACGGCCAAGTAGCGCACGAAAGATGGGTGGTTCTTTTTATTTTAATTTAAAGAATTATTTCTAATTTCTGTTAATAATAGACTCGTTAATGCCTCATTTTATATTACTGTCATGGAATTTATGCACTTTATCTCTCCACTTTTATCCTACAAATACTAATACACTTTTTTTTGCCCCCTTTGACAGGCAGTTTAGATCTGATGGCAGGAAGCTGGGATGGAAGCTATGACCCTGGTAGCCAGTCAGATGAGAGCTCTCAATTTGAGAGGCTACACATAGAGCCTATTTATGATGCATTCATATGCCCTCTAACAAAACAAGTCATGCACGATCCAGTTACTTTGGAAAATGGGCAAACTTTTGAGAGAGAAGCTATTGAAAAGTGGTTCAGGGAATGCAAGGAGAGTGGAAGAAAGCTGGTGTGCCCACTAACACTTAAAGAATTAAGAAGCACAGATTTGAATCCGAGTTTAGCCCTCCGCAATACAATTGAAGAATGGAATGCTAGGAATGAAGCAGCTCAGCTTGATATGGCTCGTAGGTCATTATCTCTGGGCAGTGCTGAGAATGATATTATGCAGGCTTTGAGATTTGTCCAGCACCTCTGCCAAAAAAGTCGGTCAAATAAGCATGTTGTTCGTAATGCGGAGCTAATACCTATGATTATTGATGTGCTGAAGAGCAGCAGCCGCAGAGTTCGGTGTAAAGCTTTGGAAACTCTTCGAATCGTAGCAGAGGAAGACACTGATAATAAGGTTCTCAACAATTTGTTGTTCATTGTTCAGATTCTATGATATTACCCAGCTTTGATGCATTGTTTCTTATTCAGAGCTTTCTTTTATTTTTTTCCCTCCCCCTAATTTTGCAGGAAATAATGGCTGAAGGGGATACTGTCCGAACAATAGTTAAGTTCTTGTCACATGAGCAATCCAAAGAGAGGGAAGAAGCTGTCTCTTTGCTGTATGAGCTCTCTAAATCTGAAGTTCTTTGTGAGAAAATTGGTTCAGTTAATGGAGCAATTCTTATATTAGTTGGAATGACAAGCAGCAAATCAGAACACGTTTTAACAGTTGAGAAGGCTGATCACACACTGGAGAATCTGGAGAAATGTGAGAATAATGTAAGACAAATGGCTGAAAATGGTAGATTGCGGCCTCTCCTGACGCTACTCCTTGAAGGTGCATTCCTTTTTCTCAATATTTATTTGCTTGCAAACCAATGGTAGTTTTGTTTTTGTTTCTTCTTTTTCTTCTCTCCACACCTCCACCCTCCCCCCTCCTTTAAATTTTTATTTTTTTTTCCCTTTTGGTTATTAAGGGAGCCATTGCTTGCTGCAATTATAAATACTCGTGTTGACAAGATTCAATAGGTGTATTCGAGTCTGGGTGAGCCACCTAATACAAAATAATCTCAAGGTTAGGTATATCTCCAATCGTCTTTCTCAGCATTCCATGTAGGCAAGTCCATTCCCAATGACATTTCATAAATGGTGTGATTTTTTTTTTTTTTTTTTTTTGATAAATAAATAATTCTTTAAAAAAAAAAAAAGGTTCAAACGGGGAATGCATCCCTAACAAACCACAAAAACCTGGGTACCCTAAGGCCCCAAGGAAGCCAAAAACTCAATAGTCACCTCAGCAGAAGAGCAGAGTCTACCTGAACGCCAAAAATAAAGAGAGTTAACGACAGAAGATTTCAGAACAGTGATGGAAGATTCCTCTCCTTCAAAGGATCTTCTATTTAGCTCCCTCCACAAACATCGCCAAAGACACAAAGGCGCCATCCTCCAGAACCCTCAAGCCTGTGCTCCCACCCAACCCCCTCTCCAGGTGTCCATCAGGCCTCTCGTAGATCTAGGCATGACCCAACAAACTTCAAATAAACCTAGCAAAAGGTTCCAACAATCAACCGCCACTGAACAATGCAAGAGAAGATCGCCATTGCACTTACACATGCAACACCAATTCACCGTGATAAGCTTTCTCTTTCTCAAATTATCCAACGTCAAAATTTTACCCCACACAACCGTCCAAGCAAAAAAAGCCACTTTCAATGGTGCCTTAGTGCGCCACACAGCCTTCCACGGGAATACCACCCCATCCGAGTCCACCAGGCATCCGAAAAAAGATCTCACACTAAACATTCCCCTAGTAGAAGGAATCCAAACTAGAGAATCCCTACCTCTTCCCCGGATCACCTGGCTATACAACAGCTCTAAAAAACCAAACACATCCTCCATTTCCCAATCCTGAAAAGATCACTGAAACAGCACATCCCAAACTGGTTTCCGCTATCAAGATGATAGCAGTCAGCCACCAAGGCATGCCTATTCACCGCAATCCTAAACAATCTAGGAAAAGAACATGCTAATGTCCGGTCTCCACGATACACATCCTCCCAAAACCGAATCTCCCTACCATCATGAATTCTGAATCTGATATGCTCAGAAAACTCATTCCATCCCTCCCGAATGTCTTTCTAAACACCGACACCTCTAGGTACAGACACCATAGCCGAACACCACCCCCCCTCTCCTCCCTAAAATGACACAATATCACCCTCCTCCACAATCTATCCCGCTCTATACCAAACCTTCACAACCACTTACCTAACAAGGCCCTATTAAAAGGCAGCAGTCACCTAATCCCAATTCCTCTAAACTTAACAGGCTTACACATCTGCTCCCAACAAACCAGATGATACTTAAACTCATCCCCCAAACCTCCCCATAAAAAGTTCCTCTGGAGTCTTTCAATAGAAGCAGCAACCGAAGACGGAATTTGGAAAAGGGATAAATAATATGTGGGAATGCTCGACAAAGTGCTTTTCAACAAGGTAACCCTCCCCCCTTTTGATAAATATTGCTTCTTCCACCCCGCAAGCCTCTTCTCCACACTCTCCACCACCGGATCCTAAGCACCTACAATCCTCGAAGAAATCCCCAAAGGCAAACCCAGGTAAGAGATCGGAAAATAACTAACTCCACACCTAAGAGTAGAAGCTAATTCCTCAATCTCCGGAACCTCACCCACTGGAATCAAAGCACTCTTCCCCACATTCACTTTCAATCCCTAGACTGCCTGAAAACAAATCAACAATGACCTCAAATATCTCATCTGAGACACATCAGCCTCACAAAAGACAAGAGTATCATCAGCAAACAACAAATGAGAAATCTCCAGCTGATGCATAACATCCCTTCCCATCCTACTCCCCATCAATCTACTAAGCCCCTCCATCACAATGATGAACAACAGTGGGGATAATGGATCTCCCTGATGGAAACCTCGCGAACTACCAAAAAATCAAGTCGAGACCCCATTCACCAACACTGAGAATCTCGTTGAAGAAATGCAGAACTCAATCCAATTCCTCCATTTCTTCCCAAAACCCATCGTTGCCATCAAGTATAACAAAAAACTCCACTTAACATGATCATAAGCTTTCTCCACATCCAACTTACACAAAACCCCTGGAACCCACTCCTCAATTTATCATCCACACACTCCCCTGCAATAAGGACAGAATCTAAAATCTGACGCCCCCCTATGAAAGCATTCTGAGATTACGAAATAACCTCATCCAAAACCATGCTTAGCCTCAAAGAAAGAACTTTGGCTATTAGTCTATAGGTCCGCCCTTCTTCGGAATAAGAGCTATAAAAGATGCATTCAAAGAATTCTCAAATCTCCCCTGAGCATGAAAAGCATGAAAAGTTCCCATCACCTCACTCCTGACCACATCCCAACTCTCCAACAGAAACCTCATAGTGAAACCATTCGGACTCGGAGCTTTATCCCCATTACAATTTCTCAATGCCTTTAGCACTTCCTCCTTAGAAAACAAATCTCCAAACCCTCCTTGTTCGCCACAGAAATCCTATTAAAATTCAGTCCATCCAGCTGGGGTGTCGTAAACACAAGCTCCGTAAATAACCTCTGATAGAATCGGGCAATCCCCCTGCAAACATCGTCCTCCCTACTCAAAACCACCCCATCCACAGTAAGCCTCCCTATGTGATTGCCCCTCCTATAAGCATTAGCCAACCTATGGAAAAACTTAGTGTTCCTGTCCCCTTCCTTAAGCCATAATGCTTTAGATTTTTGTTGCCGTGAAATCTCCTCCGACACAGCAATCTCACCCTGGCACACCACTCTCTTACTTCTCTGCTCATCATCAATACCATCCATGCCTTCCCGTTGATCAATCTCTGCAATCTTTGCCAAAGCCCTACTCTTCTTCCACTCGAGATTCCCGAATACCTCCTTATTCCGCCCTTTTTATCTCCTTTTTCAGCACCCCAAGCTTTCTAGCAAGAATAAAACTCGGGTTCCCAGACTCCATACTCCCTTCCCACCAAGACCTCACAAACCCCTGGAAATCATCCGCCCTAAGCTACATATTTTCGAAATGAAAAGGAGTGATTCTAGACCTTAACCCCCCCACAATCCAACACCAAAGGAATATGATCTAATGTCTTCTTTTTTTTTTTTTTTAGTTGGTACTCACACACCTATAGGCTTGAACCCCTGACCTTCCTTTAGAAAGTAGGAGCTTGGTACTGCTGGGCCACTGACCCGTTGGTAATATGGTCCGATGTCGGTCTAGCTAAAGCTGCCTGAGTTGCATCCGGAAACTTCTCCTCCCAATCTCCTGAAATAAGAAACTTATCCAGGCGTGAGAGAGTAGGGGACTCTCTGCCATTAACCCATGTGAAAGAAGCACCCTCCAAGGGCAAATAATGTAGATGCTGGCCATCAATGAATTCCTGAAAACTGTACCATAACCTGAGTCCATCTTCCTCCTGTTGATCTTTCCAAAGGGGATCTAACCACATTAAAGTCTCCCCCCACACACCATGGAAGACTCCACTGATCCTTAACAGATCCCAATTCCTCCCAAGAGAAGATACCTCTCTCCATCATTCATTGGACCATACACACCCGAGAACATCCACTGAAACCCATCCTCTTCCATAGTAAAACTGCAAGATATGGAAAATCTCCCTTGCCACACATCCGCCTTTGACACCCATCTCTTATCCCACGTCACCAGAATACCCCCGGATGTCCCAACAGCATCCAACGCCTCCCATTCAATAAACCTTCCACCCCACGGACTCTTAACCACCCTATCCGAAATAGATGCCATCTTCGTCTCCTGTAAACATACCACATGAACACCCCATTTCCTAACTGCCAATCTGACCACCTTTCTTTTGTCTGGATCATTAAGCCCTCGGACATTCCACGAAATGATGCGGCACTTCATTAAAAACCAATAGATGACCCCCTCACCTCTCCTTCTCCCTCTTCCCCTCTCACTGCTCCTCTCCCTCCCAATCCCATTCTTCCCCTCATAATTAATATCAGAAATCAGGCCTCGGACCTCCCTTCCCCCTCTCCACGAGGATTACCGCTTCTTTTTACCTGTTCTGGTCACGCTTCCAACATCCTCCCCATAGTTGTCAAAGGCGTTCTGGGTGCATCAAGGCACAGCTTTGGCGCCTTACATGCACCCAGGCGAGGCTCTTTGCATAGGTGCGCGCCTATTTGCTAAAGGCGATAGGCCCAAGGCGCATGTGGGGCGCGCCTGTTTGAAGGGCTTTGTTTTTATGTTATTTAAAGGGTTGTGACTTTTCATTGTTGGTTTGACTTTTCATATAATTGGTATATGCATATGTTAAGTGGTGGACCCTACCACTTATTATAAGTTATATAAAGCCAAAAGGTAAAGCAAACAAATGAATAGGGCTCTGCTGTTGCTGCTTCTTTTTTTTTTTTTGTTTTTTTTTTCATTGCTGCTGCTTATTTATTCTTCACTGCTGCATATGTAAAGTGGTGGACCCTACCACTTATTATAAGTTATATAAAGACAAAAGAATAGGCTCAAACACGTTGCTTTTTCTTCTCTCTTTTGCTGCATATGTTAAGTGGTGGACCCTACCACTTTTTATCTTTGTTCTTCTTCTACTGCTGCTTCTTTTCTCCTCTCTCCATCTCTTCTTCTGTCTTTTTTCTCCTCCTGTTCTCACTTCTCTCTCTCCCTCTCTCTTGCTTCTTTTTTTTTTTTATTATTATTATTATTTTTTTTTCCTGCTTTGTGCTCTACTGCTTACTTCTTTAATAATTATTCCATACTAATTAGTACAATGCATGTTATTTTATTTATTTATTTA